ATGTAAAATACGAATAATAATTATAAATCGATTATAGGAACTTCATTTTTAATTTTGATAAGCTTATCATATTATAGATTAATTATACATTTTAAAATAAAAGTTACAATCCCATTCAAAACTGAGTTTTATATTTATAGTTATTGATATTTATAAATTATCATAAAGTCAATAGACTGATTGACTAATCAAATATTGTTAATATTAATAAATAATATATACTTTATAATATAGTGTGCATAATCTATTGTTCTCAAACTTGCTACACATCTACAATAATATAATTATGTTATTTATACTTTTTTGTCTATTAAGACATAAAATTGTATAATATGAATATTAAGTAATAATGATTAATTTTAATCATAAATTCTCAGGTCCGAAACTATCGTCGATTATAACACTACACTGAACCTGCGATGTCATACGCAGCTTTACACTGTTCAGTAACACTCAATCATATATAATGCAACGTGAGTGTTTCCTTAAGAGTAATTTATTTTTAATATTTCATTGTTAATAAATTATTAAACACTTAAAGTAAATTAAATAAAAAAAAAGGCGGAATATACGAACATCATGTCTTGTTGAGACTGAAATATAAACACGATCACTTGAAATTGCTGACTATGTTGCACTATTTAATATGTATATGGTAATAAATCATTGACAACAGTATTTTTTTATTACTCGAGTAATTGAATTTTTGTTACTCTGGTTAGGTACTATCCTGTTGAATATAATACTATAGGTCGTAAGAGCTACTATGTCGCATTATTTACTTTTTATAACGTATTATAAATTGTTGTAAAAGTACGAGTAAAAGGTCAAGTATTATCTGTAGACGTCAGTTAAATTTTAATCCTGGTTTCTTACCCACCCATACATCGTCGAACTTATGTAAGCGTTTGTCGTGAACTATCGAAGTCCCATCTTCATGAGAAATTTTAGAGAAATTCCCCAAGTACGAGTATAAAATATTTCTTATTATAAAGCCTGAATTCAATAATATTTTATATCGTAATGTAATAAAGAATCATATATTTATAATTTATATACTATATACGTCTATAAGCATAATAATTTTTTTTCTTAAACTCATTTATACCTTTAAAGTTTAGATACAACAATCAAGTGTAATCGATCGTCTACGTTGTAGAGAACATTTATTTAAAACTTACCGTGATAAAAAGATAAAATATGATTATAATATTCATTGACGCCACAAAAATAATGCATAATATAGATTTTATCTTTTTATCGCGGTAAGTTTTAAATAAAAATGATCATTTGATAGAATACGAGCGCTGCAGATCAGAGGCACGCAAAGAGGAATTAAACATTTGTGAATCATGCCGATCTTAGATGTTAAAGTTTCGGACATATCTAAAAAATTATTACTTACATATATCTTTAATTTTACTATTCATCTAATAACTAAAATACGTAGTTTTAATAATAACCAACCATTTTTTATGGATAAAACGATGTTAATTAAATAATATCATTAAAATTGTTATTAATTTACAGATAGTATTAATTAATATTTTTTATTATTTGTACTAATTCTAAAAAAAATGATTCTTGGTAAACTATAAAAAGAAAATTAACAATTTTAATGCTTAGTTTTAAATAAAAATGTGCATAAAATATTTACTTTTCTTAATTTTTTCACTGTAAACTCTTTAGGAATATCTTTTAAAACTGTTTTTTTTTTTTTTTTTGCAAAATTTCATTTAAGTTTTCTGTACATGCCATACATTTCAAAATATTTTAACTATTTTTGAGCTATTTAAGTAAATAAGTCACTTACATAATAAATTAATATTTTCGATAATTTTTTATAAAAATTTACAAATGAATAAAAATTCTTGAAAATTTAATACAATTTTTTTAATAAGTATAGTTCATTTTCCAATTAAAAAATATTGAATATTTATTTATAAGCTTTTAAATTTAGAATTTATATAAAATTTGTCTGAATCTTTAAATTACAAATTATAGTAGTTAAAAATTCATAAAAATTTTGATAAAAGATTTTTTATGTTTTGAAACCTTATCATAAATAAAAGTAGTTTTGTGTGACACGGTGGTTATTTTTAGTCGCTAATGTGTTCTTAGGTCAAGCATCGAGTTTTTAAAAATAAATCTTCATCACATGTACACGTGTTTCAAAGTAGTACCTTTCTTCACAGTAAAAACTGAGAACAAGCTAATAACCTTTGCCTTTAAAACCTTATGTCTATAAATGAAAAAAAAAAAAATAAATAATATTGCAATATTTTCTGGGAAATTTTATATCAATCTACTATAATTTTAGAAGTAATATTAATTATGTTAATAACTATATCAAGAAAATGATATCACAAAATATACTTACTGATATAGGCTAATATATCAGATCTGATCAAAATCGTTTTTTTTTTGTACCTCAAAATTCAAATCTAATAAATCCATTACAATGGCCCACTGATCACTTAACATTCAGCAGAGCGGCACTCTTTTGTTTACCTTTTTTATTTATAGTTATGTCTATTAATTATTAATACTACTCTAAATACTATCTAACTTATTTTTTCAAAGGGTACAACGTTATATTTATAAACAAATGAATAAATATTACATAAACGTATTTTATCAAAAAAAGATTTATTAGATGTATTCATAGGTGCTATTGGAAATAAAAGTACAAGTCATTTAAATTAATATGTATTTTTGAATTTTCCAATATTTTCGTGTTCACACATTTCACTAAAGCATATATCCTTTCATATATTTTGTTTCCAAATGTATTGAATTTAAAAGTATATTTTAAAGTATGCAAATAATGCCATCAAAAACAAAAATCACGAATTAAAAAATAAAATATATTACAAACATTTTTATCGACCAGGTATTAAAATAAAAATATTGATAAGTTCATTTATAATAAACTACCATCAAATGACTAAAGAAATAAAAATAATTTTGTAATAAATCTTATATTATATATTTTATGGTTTTTATTTTTTTATTATACCATAAATATTTGGGTTTTCTTATTGTGGACTGCAATGTTTGACGTTTGACGATTATTTAAATTAAAAAAAAAAAAAAAAATACTAATATAGATAGGTATTTAAGTTATATTAATTTTTTGATGTATTATATTGTATTATAAGCCGATGGGATCAAAATGTACAAATGTTCGACAGAATCGATAGCAGGTAAAAATTTATATTAAAACAGCGGAATAAAAAATAAATTGTCCTAAAAATTAACCCGTTGGTGCTTAACAATAATTCATTATTTATTTTTATTTAAAAAAATAAGAATATTTTTACTCTAGTATAATTTTTTTTATCACAAAGGAAAGTGTTCAGACTTGATTCAAATTTATCAAAAAAAATTTAAAGTTAGATATATTATGATATTTTAACAAATTTTTAAAAAGGTTGGTATATAATAAATTTTCGATGTTGACTGAATAGGGCCTGTTATTAGAGTTAATCCTTGGTGGTCCGGTTGATATTGGCATTGAGTATATTCCTACCAAGTGCATAATTTTACTGAGCAATGTGTTATTTTCATAATTATTATTATCTATAATAGGAAGTACCATAAACTAATATCAAAGGTCCTTTGACTCGATGGGCAACAATAATAACAGTACAATACTATAAACTTAATATACTCGTATACCTATCTAGGAAAAGCACAGGTACCTACTTTGAAACTATAAGCGATACAAACATATTAACTTGCATATAAATTAACGATTATTAGTACCGCAGCACTATTATTATAATATCTACTTACGTTTATCTACACTGCTGTATGGATTAAATCAACATATTATAGTTTACACAATATACGTGTGGGAAGAAAGTAGTTTCCTTAAACAGTAACACTAAATTTTAATTCAAGTAAGTTATAGAACATAGCGACTGATAAACAACAAACAATCAGATTATATAGAATTTTATATAGAATACAACAAAATGCTGTTGAAAAAATATTTTAGTTACAACGATTGTATACGTATTAATATTAAGGCCATTCAATTAAAATAGGTTAACACAAGTGACATTTTTTGTTTTATTTAAAATCAATATCTATCTAAACATATTTTTTAAATTATTATTTTTAAAATAGCACGAATTTTAACATTATACATAGATAGTAAAGTTAAATAAAAATACACTTTTACAAAGCTCTAGTTGTGGTATGTACAAAAATATTATTAGAGTATAATTTATTATATTCAAAATGTAAAACTAGTCTATTAACTATTATGATAACAAATAATGATGTATTGTGTCAAGTTTTTATTATACATTTTTATAAATTTAAGTAATTATTAAATTAGCAAATCTTTAAAAAAATAGTTAAGTGCATGCTATAGTTTTATATCACATTTTACTTAATATTAATGTGAACAAATATTAGATTGATATTGATAAAGTTTTTCAAAATAGTTGACAGCTACTATACCTATTAATTCTCATAATAAAAACACCGACTATTATATCTTATTTATTATTAATACTTTTTAGAAAAAAAAATGTAGTTTTTAAATTAAGGGTTACATACCTATTTACTTTGTATAGTTTCTACTCGTAATTTCTTTATACAGTATTTAGTTGTGGCACTAAGTTAGACTGTTACACCATACAGTTTGGATCTTATTTCGGTAGTTTTTTTTTTTTTTATAAATTAGAAAACAATGTAATATATTTATAATTAAAAGCGGTTTTTGATGGAACTCGATTTGTCCTTGTAAATATATTAAAGTGATAACTTATTAATAAAAAAGTAAATAAATATTTCAAATTTCAAAAAGTCCATGAGAAAATAATTTTGTATTCAAATGAGTGTAATTAATCAAAACTTTAATAGGTAATTACTTTTTTATCTACATTTTTACATTTTTAAATATATTAACATACTTTTTTTCTATAAAAAATTCTTCCAAATATTTTGTTTTAATAATTAAATTTGTTTATTTTGTTTTAATTATAATTATATAGTGATAACTTAATATTTTCAAACGTCTTAAAGCGATGTGTTCCTATTTTGAATATAATTCATTGAGTCAGGTTTAATTATCGTACACAACCGTAATCAGTCGAAAACAGTAATTTCTTCCTTTTTGTTCTCAGTTTTTGTCATTACGTCAGTTATGTTTGTATTTTTATTCTGATAAACTACGCTGAAATAGGCTAATAACAACGTGTCAACAAGCATGAGCCCAGAGTAAAGCAGATATTCGTGTACCTAAATCATAGACAAAAAAATAAGTTTAAGGTTGTTTACAATTATACACATTTCTTAAACAATACAAATTTTCATAGACACCTGATTTTTAATTGATATAGATGATATAATTACTACCAAAAAATTTCCCAATGCTGTTGTGAATAAACTAATAGCGGATATAAAAGACTTCATGTTAATCGGCGCCTATATCGAATAAACAATAACATTATAGGTATTGTACAGTAAAAATACAAAAATCTATATTTATGTCATATAATTTTAGATATGGATTTAATTACTTAAACAGCTCCAAGTCTATATGATATATAATCAGTACATGTGTAAATTGTCAAATTTGATAAATTAATTGAAAACGTTATGAAAAAAAAAATATTATTTTTGTATAATAATAATAAAACATGTATAGTGTATACGAGTTGATAAATGGACTCGGAAATTGTCATTAAATTATATGTCAAAAATAAATAATATTATTAGATAAAACAAATTATACCTCTGTGAACGAAAATTCTGTAGTTGTGACCACAAATATGACGTCAGCTATAATCATACACACATATTGTGGTAGCTGCCATAGAATGTGAATATAGTTCCCTTCATGCTCGGTAAATAATCGTACATCCTATATAAATGCCTTTTCACATAAAATTTGCTTGTAATTCACAAGGTATGAATTATAATATACAGGTAGACCATATAAAATTTTACCATTTTATCGCCATTTCGTTGTATAGTAAGTGTATAAAATGTAGCTGGTATTATGTCCATAGGTGGAATGGACAATAGTTTTCCGTTATATACCAAATTATATCTGTAATAAATACCATAATTTATTACTCATCATGTTGAGATCAAATTATTTTTAATTCATTATTGTTATGATATAAAAATATTGGATACTTACTTCCCAACCTTGACGGCATTAAAGTTCATCCCTCGAAACAAAGAAAGAGGATACGAGGTAAACGAGTTTTTATCTACACTGGTCAATGTGATATTATCGTCAAAATTAAAAGTGTAGTCGATCAAAATTCTAAATTTAATTATTTTCATATTTTAATTTAGATAGTATTATTGTAATAAAACTGGAAACATTAATTAATATACTTACCTTAAGTTAGGGTTCCCAAATTTTTCTTTAACTAAATGTTCAGGAATTCCAACTTGGTTTAATTTGATTGTGTTTGTATTTAAATAAACCAAGTGATAAGAACTTTCCTGAGGTTAATTAAAAAATATATTATGATCAAATAAGTTTTAATTATTATTTTTTATTTTGCAAAAACTTAAAACACATTTTTATAGTCATAATATAAAATTAATAATTGTACATAATATTTTTCAAGTGAACGTTCTCATTGAAATAAGACATGTCATCGGTTATAATTATTTTAATGACTATAATTTTTTATCATGTGATTTACACATTTGTGCTTTTATTATTTTTTATATGATAATATAATTGTAAAATATATTATAGAATGATATTCAATATTCTAAAATAAACAAGTGTAATAAATAGCTAATAGATGTATCAGTAAAAGAATGGATAGGAAATAGTATTGAGTCTATTCAATCTACAATTTGATTAAAATTTAGCATTTCTGACTGAATAATAAATGTATGGAGTTTAAATATTTTGATTTTTTTTATGTAAGTATTTTATATTAATGAATTCGTGTTAAATGATTATTTTAATTGGTTTTTATACACATAACTACCTATTACCTTCAATATTGTATCACAATGTGATAAGAATATTTATAAACGCTAAGTGCATTTTGAACTTAAAAATACAAGAATTTAATTTTAAAATATCTTATATTCGTTCATTTTCCTTTTTCTATTATTTAAAAGATAAATAAAAGTACATTGAAACAATCTAATTTGAATTAAATCTTTCTTAATCTGTCTTGTTATATAATATACATATCGGAAAAAATTGTATTCACTCTTGCGTAAAAATATTATTTTGAACAATATTCATTATGTTTAAATTCCATCATTGTACATGTACACAACGTAATTGTAAATCAGGGTTTAATATTAAAGAGTAAAATAGTATAATAATATTATCTATGCTTTTAGAAAGTTCTTATAAAATGGGATATATTTTTATTGTTCAAAAATAGTTCATGATAAAGCTGAATAAGTCTATTTACTATTTTATTATCCATAAATAAATATTATGTTTCGTAGTTAAGTTTCGTTACCAAAAATTTTTAATTTAAAAACATCAAAACACTTACCTCTCCTTCAATTATCGTCACAGTGGTATCGAACTCAAAATTTTCTGGTACAAATGAGCACTCGGGTTCAAATTCTAATGTGATGAATACGTCGTTTCGAGACATGACTGCATGAGTAACATTGATCATATCGAGTGGATCAATATAACTCTGTAAGTGTAATGTTCTCGATCGTACGAATACTTTGCAATCGAATCCATTATAAATGTTTAGACGTCCTTGTCCAGGCGGTATTTCAGTGGTATTTCCCTTTAAAATCCATATCAGAGATAAGTTAAAAAAAAAATATAGAGACTCAAGCTTACGTCTTACAAAAATTTTAAACTGCAATAGAGCTGCGAGTAGAAAGGCTACTACGGCTAATACACCGCCCAACGTAAGCTTTTGTAACGGTTTTCGGATGCCAATCATAGTCAGCAATGGATAAAGAGCAATGTCGAAGAGAACGAGAAACGCCAGTCCGAACAACGGCACTAGTGTCTGCATTTGATCTGGTTTTATTGTCCAGTCTAAGAAATCCACATAGCCATTCAACAGCGTAGCTTGTAACGTCCACCGAGAACCCTACAACAAAACGAATGAGGCGTTATGGAATAATATAAAAATCCATATCGGAATAACTCATAGATATCGTCGTAGTTAATGATATTTATTATTAACATTACAGACAGATGGCCCAATAATGAGAAGCATAGTTATTCAATAATAATATTTATAAATGTAACTTAAATTAAAATCAAAAAATAAATCGAAAATAGAACATTATATAACAATTAAGTAGGAATAATATTAACATTTACAGTAGCAACCACCATCGTATCATATTAGCCAATTAGTGGCATGGTTATTGGTACATATTGGTACAGAGATACGTCTTATGTGAAGAAAAAAGGAATTTTAAAGTTCTAATGATAATACTTTTATATCAAACAATGGCTCATTCATCGATACAGGAACCGACATCCCCAGAAAAAACACTCACTATTGACGAAAAATATATTTACACTGACCGCAAGTTGATAGACAGAAACAGAGCAAGTCCTAAAGTTTGGACTCCCAAGGAAAATTTAATCTATGCTTCTGTATATAACGAGGATAAAAATAAAGTTTAATAAACAATTATGTTTAAAATTTTAAATAATAAATACATGTAACATGGGTGGTTTAATATTTGGAATTAAATGTCGGGGTGTTTGTGAATGTCTTAAAGTATATTAATAATGGAAAATTAATTTATCTTAATTCTTAATTGCAAATGCATTACGATATAAAATTATATGATAAAATGATTTTAATTTTAAATATTGTTCGAAAAGTACAAGTATCTGTAGTCAATCCCCGTGATAATTCTTATCACAATCCACAATTCTGTTTTTATTTAGTATTACACTATTATTTTTGTATTTTCTGAACAATAAACATCGATTTTGATATATATATATATATATATATATATTGAATTATAAAACAATTAAACCGATTTGGTCCATTAGAAATTTGCCACTCGTAAGCTAATGATACCTTAGGCAGTTTTCTATTTTGGCATGGCATTCGGCAGTATAACTTAAAATAATAATGAGAGTATTTTAAAAGTTAACCATTCATTTGTATTTATTTCATATTTCTATTTACGTATTTGATAGTGGAAACCATAGTAACTGCAGCAGATGTTAATAGACACCAAAGTCCATGACAGATTATGACTGCATCCGACATCAACCAGACTAAAAGAACTTCAGCTTACAACTATTTTTTGATTGCAGTCATAATGTCAATGTTAATAATAATAATAATTAACATTAACGTTTACGTTATAACAAAATTAATATACTTATACACCGTACTTGTTGTTCGTATAGCGACCAGAATATTGGAAAGGACACAAACACAGTGATCACTTTCAAGGCTGACTTCGTATCCGATATTTCTGTTTCGGTGTATACTCCCTTTGCGTTTTCTAGCCAGTGGTTTTGGCAAGGAACCCGTGATGTTATCTTTGTGCGTAGCGCGTACTTGAAAATCAAACATAGAGTTTTGAAGTGAAAATCGAGAACAAAAGATGTATTGCGAGTTTTACTATTCATCATCTATTCTAATGATTTCTGCTCGTTTTTATACGTATGTTTAATATTTTACTTACGAAAATGCAACCAAATGTCCTGGCGATGACGTTGTGTTCCGGTATCTTCTTCACGTACATGTTTTTTCCACATAAGAAAATCGCTGTGAAGTGTAAAACATACTGTAATTAGTGTATAGTATTTGAGAGTTATAGCAATTTTTATTGTAGATTAGGGTGGATAATTAAGAGAAAGTCGTAAAGAGACATACCTATTTAATTATTTATAAATATTTCAATAATTGTAAGTATAGGAGACGTTGTGCTAATATTTTCCTATATTGAAAATATACTATGATAATAAAATAATAATACCTATAGCAGTCAACATAAGAATGGCCGGTACACCGAAAGCCAACGGAAAACACGTGTCTTTACCGAAACAATGTACGCTCTGTCTCAATTCGGGTGTCAGAAACGTCGAAATTAACGAGCCAATGTTTATTGCGATTATAAATTTGGTAGTGAAGCGCAGTAGTTGTTTTTCTTGTTGAGGTAACTGGAATTGATCGCCACCAAACGTAAAAATGCATGGTTTTATACCACCTGTACCCATGGATATGAAAAATAATCCGAGTAAAGTGAAAGTTCTAAAAAAAACAAATCAGTAAGTATGTGAAAACATATTAGGTATGCAATACACTTTTGTTCAAACACTAGGTTTTTGTGTAATATTTTTGGCGTAGAATACATTTCTAGGGAAGAATTTATTATATTATATGTTTCAGGCTAAGAACGATATTGTTTATGATATCGACTCGAAAGTTAAGTACCAATCGGACGGTGCCTCGAGTCATACTGATTTTATCACAAATGAGCAACGGTAGATATGCCACAAGCATATAAAAAAATAATATACAAGCAAAAATATTCACACAATCTTCCAAATTTCTATTTATCTTGGTCCACATATGTTATTTTTTCTTGGTTAGTTTAGGTTAGGGCTAGTGTATAATTTTTTATTTTTGTTTTTGTTTTTCACTTAAGGATCTAGTTTACTGGGACGACCGATATATAAACGCATTCTACGTAAAACAAGAATACATTTTGATACTTAATAATTATCTATAGTAAAATCGTCTTTTAATAACTTTTGAATGTTGAGGCTAAACATGTCTGCCATTGAAGCACCGGTAAGCACAATACTCCCCAGTACGTACACCACTGATAAACATATAATTGTTCTAAAAAAAAAAATATATCATGTAAAAGCAGTAATAAGTCAACAATATTAATGGCGATTCACTTTAAAATCATACGCCATATGCAGCGTACTTGAATTTTCCCCAATAAGAGTCAGCAAGGATCGCACCAAACAATGGCATGAAGAATGCAAAAAATATGAAACTATGATATATTATCGTTGAATCTTCACCATTAAATTTCAATATTGTTGTCAGGTACAAAACCAAGACGGCTGTAAATATATTTTTATTGTATTAAAGTAGAAGTCGTAAACAGTAAACTTATAACTGGATGTTAGTCATCACCAAGCTACTTAATTCACTCACTTCTCAGTCCGTAATACGTAAATCGTTCGCAAAATTCATTAAGTACGATAAACCATAAAGACTTGGGGTATTTCTGAAAAGAAAAATAATTACTTATTTATTTTTAATTTGAAGTGAATACGGTGTTCAGAGAAATAGCTTTTTGCATCTCCAGTTTTTTAGTTAGTTGAGATGATGTTTAAACGGGATAAGACTTATTTTTATCCTATAGTAGGGTTAGGTTAAGTTATCACCAATAGTGAATATTTCCAAAATGTAATCTATAGCTACTATTCTTATTTGTTCTAAGTTAATACCTTAAATATATATCCTATTTAATATTATATTTATGTTTTATTATTGGGAAAGCAGTATTATTTTATTATGAATTCTATAGTCAACTTTTTTAGTACTTAAATATTTTAAATATTATAAATTAACTAAATAAAAATTGTATTATATCTGTTAGGCAATGAATACAATCAATTTATGCATTTTTTTTTTTTTTTTTTTTTGAAAAAAACTTTAAAGAATTTTAACTAATTGACACTCGAACAATTTATTAATTAAATTAATAAAGATGTAGATATTCTTTGTGTTCTTTGAACATTATAACGAATAACACATGCTAGTTAAATAAACAACTAAAAGTATAAGTTAAATTAAAAAATTCAAAGTGTAAATTTTTAATAAAATAAGTCGAAGTGATGTCTAACAGTGTTTATTAACGGTGTTAAACAGAGACAAATAATAATAATAATAATAATAAAAATAATTGAGAATATACGCTTGGTGGAAATGGTCATCTAGCGATGGCACTTTATAAATTATAAATTGAATTTAAAAAAAAAAAAAAAAAAATTAGGGTACATTTCTCTGGTATTTTATGCAATAAATTTACAAAAAACCGAGACAAATTGAAACATAATATGGCTAAAAATGCTACGCGTGGCGAATCACATTATCTCTGCTCTATACATATTGTAATGATATACATATTACTAACGCGTCATTTATGCCGCATTCAGCAATTTTTGCTTAGGCTAGAAAAACACAGGAGCGTAGAGTATGAGAATATACAAATCATTGATATAGCTAATCAGTTGAGTTTTATTCATGAAATATAGATAATAGTTATCTCTATATTTTTAAGCAACATTTTTAATTTGATTTACTATAGGTATAATAACCTACTTTATAGATAAATCATAATATATTTAATCGTTTCAACTTGTACTCCGCTACACCTGTAATCTTTAAAATACTACCCTAAAGAACAAGGTTACTCAGGTGATGATGTATTGTATAATTATATTAATATTTAGTCACATGAATTAACCTTGTAATACGTTACTATAATATCGTTTTTATTGTGTTAGTTTATGAACGCAGGTCATACGTTTCTAGGACCTGTAAAATATAACTTAGAAAACTTTATTTGTTTCAGTTCAACAACCTGGTCCTTAAGACCGGTTCGTGTAGTGGGAATAGTTAATCAACTAATCCTTAACTGGATAGAATTAGATATAAATATCGACAGCCATTTGGTTTTAATAAACGGTTAGGTGTGTTACAATATAAAATATTTTTTATTTATACGGAAATATGGTAATTGCAGGTATTTTTGAGCACAATAAACTTTATTTGCTCAAATGTTTTGTACTTGAATCAAATCTGTTTTGTGTTTAAATAGTGAGGAACGTAATTCTTGAAAAGTGACTATAGATATTATTTTTCACGTTTAAACCACCTGATTTAAAATATAGTTTACACATTTTCAGTGAATACTTAATGTTTAGTTCTCACTATTGATGAGTATGTTTAGAATCAGAATGTAAGTTATAACTAAATGAAAAATAAAGGTAAGTAAGATGTGGGGAAAAAGATTGGTCGAGACAAATATATACATAACATTAGTAGGTAGTAAATCGATTGACATAAAATCATGTTTTTATAACAATAACAAAATATTTAATGTAGTTCTTAGGAATATACTAAAAAAAGTTAAGAATTTAAATAAAACTCACCAATTTTTCGTTTTGATCAGATATCAAATCCATGTTGAACTGAAAAATAAAATTTTATTTTTTTTAGGTGCCTATCTAAATTATAACCACTGGACCGAAGAGTTGAGGTGTTTTAGGCTAAATGAATGTGTGAAATCAACAGTAGGTCTGCGACCTCGAAAAGTGTTAATTTTTAACAATCACGTATTCATATGAATGAATTGTAGTATATAACAATTAAAGTGTTTGTTTTACAGTTGTTTCAAGTGGAAAAGTCTTTAACAAATTATCAAGTCAAAAATATTCATCACACTTAATAATCATGCATTTATTTATTATAGACTATTAAATAGAATATTTAATTTTATCAATTTTATAATTTAAATCAAGTGTTTATAACTTTTTAGTATTTAGCATATTATATCAATAGGTACATGTTATAACTAATTATAGTTAATTTTAAGCTGTGGTATTTAAAATAATCTGTTTTTAACACTTTTATTACCTAAACATTAACTCTGTAACACATAGTTGATAGTAGGTAAAAATGAGTGATGCAACATCCAGTAAGAAATTAGTTTTAGTTTGAGTGAGTCTATAAAAGTAATACATTTTATAAAATAAAAAATAAAAAGGTGGACAAGTAAATGCCGCTCTACTGTACGATAGGTGTTGGACGGGTCACTGTTATTGATGTGTTAAACTTAAATTCAATAAAATATCATTGTAAACGAAAATTATTTTGAGAAATAAAGGTCTGTCAGCTTATATCATTAAGTTTATTTCATAAAATTATGTTTTATTGATGTTGTTATTAAAGTAATTTATTTTACTAATCGTATTATAGTAGTATGTTAATTTAATCTTTGTCGAAAATCTTGCACACATTATTATTATTAATATTATATTATTATACTGATATATATATTAATACCATATTATATCAACTTATATAACTCAAAATTTAAAAACATAGTTCTGTAAAAAAATGCCGTAAAATAGTAAAAATTGATTCATAGTACTTATAAATAGATAATAGTTTAAAATAAATCAAAAATGTTACATGTATATTAAAATTCATGATAATATTAAATACATATTAATTTAAGTTTCCATGAATAATGTTTTTAAATTATAAAAAATAGCTTTTTTTGTAATTACGTTTGTAGTCAACGTAAGTTTTTGTAATGGTTTACAGACACTAATCATAGATAGCAATGAGTAAAAAATGACATCGAACAGAACAAGTAACATCAGACTCAATAATGGCATTAATATTTAATATCTTCATTTGATCAGATTTTATTGTTTGGCTCAGGTATTCCAATTCTACGTGTCCGTTTATCAATATGCGTTGTAACGTCTAATGGGAATTTTGTACAGAATGGACGTAACGTCGAAAAGTATAAGATCAACGGCCATATGACGCCCTAGTGCAAGAAATATTTTGGCACCTCTCCCTATGATAAAATCTTAATCCTGCTCTTTAGAATATGAAGTTATTAATTTATTCTATCACTTAAAAAAGTGATTAATTCAAAACATTGTTAAAAATATAAATATTTTGCTATGTTATAAAATTATGCAAATAAAATATTTTCAACAAAGTTAAGTCTTTTTAAAATTATGAGTGTTGGAATTTAAATAGATAGCATTGTTTATAAATATAATATGTGGAAACACCGTACTAATAATATATGATGGTGCATTAGCGAGGAAAAATCAAGTAAATCAAAGAAGAGAGGTTTTCAAACAGCTAGGTAGATATTTTACGTACTTTCATCAATTATACAGTGAATAAACACTTTAAATTGTGCATATATACATTGGCGAAGATTCAATTTTACCTTTGCTAAACAAGGTGAGGGTAAAATTATAATAATAATGTAATATACAATATACATAAACACTTTACATCAACAATACCACTATACTGATTGATAAGTGATAACCAACGGAAAACATGTGTCTCTAACAAAACAATGTACGTTGTGTCTCATTTTGAATGTCAAAAATGTCGAGATCAACCTACCAACCTACCAAAGCTTACGGTGAACCCGAAAATGGTTGAGTAGTATTTTTTTTTTTTTTTTTTTTTATTGGCTGTAGAAACCGCGAAAACGCATGGTTTTATGCCATTTGTGCCGATAGATACGATGAATAACACAAAGACTGCACAGTTCTAGAAAATTAAAATGTTCGATTAAACGTATTGTAAGTTTTCATTAAAACATTTTTCAAAAAAAATTATCGTGTTGAAAAATACAGATATTTTGGACTCAGGTTTCGTTTTTTATGAACACGTTACTTTTATACTTGGCATGAAATATACGTAAGTCAGTTCGACCATAGACTAAATATACTTAATATATTTACTTTGTATATTTAATCTATGGTTCGACATGCCTACGTCGATATATGTTTTTTAGGTACAAAAAGCAGTAGTCAAAGACCAAATGATTTGAACGAATTGAATCTTCATTAAATTGATCGAGTGTACATTCGTTTTATTATAAATTATAATACATTTATGAAATAAATCTTAATATTATATATCATATGATTCATATTATCTTATATTGTTATTTTTAGTAAACATGATGATAGCATATTGTATAGATTTATAGATATCGGGCGCTATAACGGATTTTATGGAACGCGCCGAGTATTTTATTTTATCACAAAAATAGTTATATATTAAAGCATTATACATCTGACTATATTATCAAATGTCCTTGAATATTGGTATTCAAAATATCTTTTGTAGTTGTTTTTTCAATATGTAGATGTCTGTGAATTCTGATTCCTAAGGTTTTGAAATATTATCATTTATCAAAGACTTCTTTTTTATACACTGGAATGTTCCGTTATAAAAATAAATATACTCTGTGTTTCAAAAATTAATCATCTACTCTAATTTCATCACTTATTAACTTTTGAAAGTTGTTACTAAAAACATCTGATCTGCCGACGAAACACCGGTGATCACTGTAGTTCCAAGTGCGTAAACAGTTGACTAGAATAAAATCGTTCTAAAAAAAAAAAAAAAAACAATAAAATATTTCATTTATTAAAAAAATTTATTACGACAATAGTAAGTATGATGTTTATAACAACTCAATTACTATGTACTTGGATTTTCCCAGATAAGAGTCTACTATAACTCCACCAGACAACAACACGATGTTTGCTAAAAATACGAAATTGTGATATATTGTCATTAAATCGCCACCATTAAATTTTAATATAGTTGTCAAATTTGAAACCGTGATTGTAAATATACCATAATACCGTTATTGCATTTTAATGTAAGCGCGACTTTGTATTAATTATAACCGTAGTTAAGTCACTCAATTGACTTACTTTTCAATTAGTGAGTGCTAAATCGTTTGCAAAATCCAACGAATATAGACTTGGGATATTTTTTAAAAACCAAATCATTTTATTTTAAACTTACAGTGAATCTATTATTGTGAAAAGCTATTATTTCACCACGGTTTAGTTAAGTGTATGGATTGGAATTTTTTAACTATTGCGTATATAAAAATAGATGTTATGCTGTTATTATTTTATAGATATATTGTACATAGGTAATTTATATTTTAAACAATATGCATAGTATATTTTATTATTTTTACATATTTTAAAATAATATTCTTATAAAAGGAAATTATAATATAAAATAATGTTGAAAAAATCATATATAATAATATTATCAAATATAAATAGCTATCAGGTATTTATTTTTTTAGTAGTACCTACACAATATTTAACTTCTAAGAATAAAAATAAAATAGTTTCCTTTTATCTAAATATAAATGTCTTCATTTCAAATTCTTAAGTAATAATTATAGTATATTATTATTTAATAAAGGAATTTCAAGAGAAGAAAAATAACAAAATGTAGTTTAATTTTGTTTTTAAATTTATTGTGATAAAGGCTGATATTAGATGTGATATAAATTGATAAAATATGAAATTTAAGTGCTAAAAAAAGCCATAAATTAGGGCTTTTAAAAAATTGTGTAGGAAAGAAGACAACTGTAAAATAGTATAGGTTCTATGTGGCTTGGAAGGATTTGAAAAAGAAAATACCTCGATGAAAATTGTTAGAAAAAATTTGAACCAAACTGTTTATGGGGTACCGTAATGAAGCGGCATTAAAATATTTTTTTATCACTGTGTTAAATGGTAAAAATCATATTATTTACATAAATTGCAACATAAAACTTATTATTTAAGTGTTTGATATATTATACAGTTTTTGTATGGAAAACATTATTACGAAATTCTCTATAGCAAATAAAACTTATCAGACAGTTAAATCATATTGTAGTATTGTATATTTTTAACTTATGTGAAAATTAACTTGAGCACTCCGCATTTTGATATTTAAGAATTTATTTGCTGTTTTACTACGAATTCACTTAGTGTTGAAACATTGAACAGTGATAAATGTTATTATTAAAAAGTGAATGATATAATAATAATATATTATAAATTATCATAATTTTTTTACAATGCTAACTGTACACGATATTAAATTAATTTAAAGTTTTTTTTAGAAGATAATATTCTAGATTTTATTAGTCTAATAATTTTTTTGTTTCACAAAAATAATGTTAAATAAAATATTGGTTTAATATAACTCTTGTTATGAGATAACAACTAACAATTTAATATGATAGATTAATTAAAATTATAAAATTGTTTTGAAATTTTACATATCAATTTTTTGTTTTGATCTAATCTCAAATCTATTGTGTGCTGAAAATAAGAAAAACTAATTGCTATAACTGTTGAACTGAAAGGCTTAGATGTTTGAAATCGAATGTGTGTATATAATTAAGTACGAATTAAGAAAAATATCTAATTTTCAAAATATTATTCAATCTAATTTTTAGTGTATAAACAAAAATAATTTGTTTATGCTAATTGCTTAAGTTGAAAAATTGTTTGACTTATTATCAAGTCATAAAAGTGAAAATGTCCATCACATAAAACGTTTTATTTATAGCTTATTTACAGTAGGCTGTAGGTGATAAGTGTTCATAAATATGATTTGAGTTAAGTAACTAAATGAAAACTAGAAAATATGTGTTTAAATATTTAATAATTTTATAATGTAAAATGATAATACTTAGATGGGTATTTGAAATAATGTTTTAGTTAAAATCTA